CATCTGGGAAAACCCGAATCTGAAAGTTTCCAGGCTTTCCCCACCCAAGTGAAAGTCCAAGTCCCTGCCCAACACCCACAGATCCATCACATGGCCCAATCAGGCACCATCCAAAACTGGAGATGCCTCCCAGTCATGTCACTCCAGGTGTAGGGCAAGATGTCCTTGACTCTCTCGAGAAAGGAATGCTTTTTAGACTATATATCTCCCAAACCAGTGGTAAAATTCTATTTTTTTTAACTACTGGTTCTGTGGGCATGGCTTGTTGGGCGTGGTGTGGCTTGGTGGGCATAGCTTGGTGGACGTAGCAGGGGAAATACTGCAAAATCTCCATTCCCTGGAGCCAGCCAGAGGTGGCATTTGCCGGGTCTCTGAACTAAATTTCCGCTACCAGTTTTCCAAAACATGTCAAAACCTGCTGTATTTCACCCTTCTCCCATTTTCCCACAGCAGAAAATGTGGCAGGCTTGAAGGCCCAATGTAAAAGATGGCTTCCAGGCCTGACAGGCTGCCCCCCTTTCAGCAGAAGATCGTGTCCTGTAACCAGAGTAACACAGGGGGTTAAAATCATACACCTAACCACCAGGTGTGGGATTGTTTGTATCATTGGGCATTCTGACATGAATTCAGCTTCATACTATGCATTTGTGTATAACATTTCATAATGTCATAAACACACAGTGGATATTCAATGCTTTAATTAACAAATAAATAGCAAGCAAGAAGTCTCTGCGAATGTATGGGGACATTGCAGTTCCTAATAGTCTCCCATTGAGGTCTTAATGAGGTTTGATCCCGCTTAGTTTATTATTTAACAATAAACTGATTGCCTGCTGACGTATACAGTACTTGGACCGTATACTCCCAAATTGGTTTATTATTTTTCTTATTTTTATTTTATTATATCTCCGATGCTTTGATTGTGAGTGGTAATACCGTATTAAGAATAAAAACTAAAGTAGCTTTATGCAAATGTTATCATTATTATTTATACTATGTTTCCTTTCCAGTTGTATAGTTTGCCTTCTTCATTAATGCGATGAGAGAATCATTAAAATGCCTGGTGTTCAAATATTTGATCAAACTTCAATTAAAAACCATGTATTTCAAGTTAAAGGAGAAAAACTCTACAGATTTGTAATTGAACATGACAGCTGTTCAGTTTAATTAAGAGCGGATAACATTTTTTGGGGGGGGAGGACACTTGTTATCAAGTGAGCCACCTAAAGAGATGAGATGAATGCTGCATATAGGCTGATATCAAAAATAATTGGTTATTTTCATTTAAAGTTCCATTCTTTCAGCTCAGATTAAATAAGGTTGATTATTTCATGAGTCGATAAAGGAAAGAAGTATGCATGTCTAGCTGTGCTGTTTAGATCTTATGACGGATGCTTCTGAAATTATTGGCATTCCTATAACCTCTGAAAGATGTGGAGGGGATATTAATGAGCTGCTTCAAATGATGTACAATAACTTGGATGAAAACAGATGTGAGTGACTCTGTTTAAATATTAAACAGATTCCAGGCCTCTCTGCTGGCTTGTTTTAAGGTGACCTAACAGTATTATATTAAAAAAAAAACTTAACAGATTAAATGCTGAGTGCTAGACCTTGTTTAAATAGTTGTAATTGATTACGGTTAAAGTGTTGGTGAAAGTACTACTGGTAGCAACTGTCTTCCCGAGGCATGTTCATTGACCTGGACAAGGAATTTACACACCTTTTTATAAATGCATAAACCAAGCGATAGTGTAAAATAAAAATGGTTTAAGAGTTGGATAAGCATGATAAAAATGGCAAGGCAGCTAAATGCTATATTAAGAATATTCCAGAGGTGGTATTCAGCAGGTTAGCGGAAAGATCATAGAATGTAAGAGACATTAGAGATCAACTAGACAACCCCCACCCTTCCCCTGTGTTGGAATCTGCAATACTGCTGCATCCCCGCCTAAATACTTTTCAGCAGACTTTCCGAAGGTGTCTGTTCCATTTTGTAGAGCTCTTACCATTAGGAAATTCCTCCTGATATCAATAATTTGATTCCTAATAAAAACTGTTGTTTTATTTTCTTTTGTCTTTCCTTTCGCCTTAGCACTGCAAATCAGTGACCAAATCCAGCCCATCACCTGTATTATAACTCTTTAGATAGGAAACACTCTATTGTGTTCCTCCCCATCTTTGTCATCTGCAAATTTGATAATTATATTTTCAAATCCCCATTCAAGTCAAGCTACACTCAGACTTGTGAGGGAGCTTAGAGATCTTCTAGTCCAACCCTCTGCTATACCATTCCAGACAAGTGGCTGTCCAGTCTCTTCTTAAAAGCCTCCAGTGATGAATCACTCACAACCTCTGAAGGCATGCCATAGCAAGGATGAATTGTTTTCATTGTCAGAAAATTGTTCCTTGGTTCCAGGTTGCTTCTTTCCTTGTTTAGTCTCCATCCATTGCTTCTTGACCTGCCTTCAGGTGCTTTGGGGAATAGGTTGCTCCCCTCTTCTTTGCGGCAACCCTTCAAATATTGGAAGACTGATATCTTGTCTCCCTTATTCCTTCGTTTCACTAGACTAGACAAATCCAATTCCTGCAACTGTTCTTCATATGTTTTGGTCTCCTTTCCCTTAATTATCTTTGTCGGTCTTCTCTGCACTCTTGATAGCCTCCTCAGAATCTCTGAACAGGTCGACATAACAGAACAGAATAACAGAGTTGGAAGGGACCTTGGAGGTCTTCTAGTCCAGCCCTCTGCTCAAGCAGGAGACCCTCTATCATTCCAGACAATGGTTTACAGTCTCTCTCTCTCTCTTTCTCTCTCGGAACAGCCACAACTGTCGCACAACATGAAATTGTGCAAAGGCCGTCCTACCCAGGGCTGCTGTATTGATTTTTTTGCTTCTCTTAGTTCTAACCTAGGTTTTCTCAGCAGCACGAAGCCTCGTCCTTGTCCCGATAAACCCCTTTTATTTAATTTACAGTGAATTCCTCCCCAGCAAAGTCTTGCCCACAGTCTTTCAAGATAGTTCACAATTACTAACCTTTATCAGGCTTGGAGAGTGGCCAGGCCGATATCTTTCAGATGCCGCAATAATTGGCAAGAATGCAGGAACGAACTAATTGTCTCCTGAAAACACCCCTCTCCTTTCACTCCTCTTTTATTCCCTGTGGGAGGACCAAGAAAGTCTTTCGAGGGAGGATTTACAGTCACAGACCTTATCTGGCTTGGAGAGCTGACAGGCCGATATCTGCAAAACTTGGCAAAGAGTCTCGGAAACATCGAACCAATGAAATGAATTAATTGTCTCCTTCAAACTCCACTCCCCTTTCACTCCTCTTTTATTTCCTCTGGGAGGGGCCATTCATCGTCTACCCGTGGCTTTACTCCCAAGTCGACCCCTGTTTTTTAGCTGTTCCTTTCGTCTGGCAACTCTGTGCATGCGCACACTGAGAACAGGCTCCAGCTGTTCATCTGCCTCACTGATGTCTGATTCCAAAGGCAGCTGATAACTGTTAGACAGCGCTGGCCCCAACTCTGCCTCCAACACAGAGCCCTCATCCGAGCCTTCTCTATACTCCAAGAGTGGCGCATGTTGCTCCCCAACCTCCTCACTATCCGAATCTGCTATCATCTGTGCTGGCTGCTGTCGGACCACAACACTCTTCTTTTTAGTACTTAACCTGTCAGGGAAGGAAAATGATGCAAATTATATAATATAATGTCAAGATGTAGATGACATCCTCATGGCTTGTACCAGATGCCTCTATTCCCTATTTTTGATAGTATCTTTTGGTGAAGATTTATACCTGGAATAAATTGCTATCCGTGGCAGAGGCTTGAAATAAATCTGTAAAATTAGGTAGTAATAGTTAATACCTAATGTTCATGAATAATTATCGTAAGCTATCAAAGCATTTTCTTTGTGTCATCTGTTTAATATATGTGGCTGCATATTAAAGTTTTTAATCCAATCTAGTTATTCTAGAGAATTTTCCAACTGTAACTGTGAGTCTTCTTGAAATCTTCTTTAGAACGTAGTGTTCCATAAATTACTTTTAATAGTTTCAAATGGATTCAATTGAAATAATACATTAATAAATGGTGAATAAGGGACTTTTAAGAAGTTCTTTGAGATATACAGTAATTTTCTGATTGCTGTGTTTTAAGGTAGCACTGCAATTGCAGTATTATTTGAACTGTATGGTTTTGTGAGATACTGTGAACTTAATAATGTTGTCTGTATTTTCAATTTCTTATTAATTAATGATCCAAAATAAGATGATTGCCTGTATCATAGTACTGGTATTTTTTTTAACTCTAACTTTTACGGATTTTTTGGAACAGCCTATTAAAATTTAGTAAGAGGTCCTACTAAAGTATTAGAATAATAGCATATCTTGAAAACAGGAAAATTCAGAACTTCTTAGAACATGTGTAAAAAAGAACAACTTTTAACTCACATGATCCAAAGTTTAAAAATCCAGTTTGGCTTGGGCAGCCCATAATAATTATATTTTATTACTGAATTGTGACATTTTAATTCCACTATAAATTAGACTTCCTAGTGGACTAATAGCATATTGTCTAATATAGAAATACTGGAGCTAGTTATGAAACTATGCAAAAGTTATTTTCAAAACTGTCAGCCCTTTGATTTAGGCTTGGAACAAGAAACAGGACCAAAGCCTATCAGAATTTATTTAGTGCAATTTATATCAAACAAGATAAAGGCAGGATTATTTTGAGGCTCTCTCTCTCCCTTCCCCTTCCCTCCCTCCCCCCTTCGCTCCCTCTCTCCCCCTCCCCCTCTCATTCTTTCTCCATCCCTCTCTCTTCCCCACACTCTCTCTTTCCCTCCCTTCCCTCCCTTTCCCTCTCCTCTTCGCTCCCTCTCTCCCCCTCCCTCACCCTCTCGTTCTCTCCCTCCCTTCCCTTCCTTCCCCCTCTCATTCTTCCTCCCTCTCCCTCTCTCCCCCTTTCATTCTGTCTCTTCTTCTCTTTCTCCTCTCTCTCTCTCTTGCTCCCCACTCTGCCTCTACTTCCCTGTCCCCTTCCCCCTCCCCCTCCCTCTCTCAGTTTCTCATTCTCTTATTCTTTCCTTGTTCTCGGGACTGAGTAATCTATTCTCTCTTAACAGTTCCTTGTCTCTTTTCTCTTCCCAGAGCCAGGTCTACATTTGTTCCACGGATAACGTTCTTTATTTATAACTCAGAGTTTACATCAGGGGTGTCCAACCTTGGCATCTTTTAAAACTTGTGGACTTCCTTTAGAGGCGAGGAGTTCTGTATATGAAAAATTGAACTGAAAAATTAAATGTATCTGCACAATTTGAATGTAGATTATTTCATACAATTCAGGCTTTGGCAAAGTTCAAATGTTTCAAATTCTTCTTGTTCCCAAATTCAATTTTGAACAAATTTCAAGAGTGTCAACTTCAGTGATTCAAATAAGATTCACTCCCAGGTAAATGTATGTTGAATTGTGACCTATGCACACTCCAGCATTAATACATGTACCTGTTCTAGTGAGTCTGGATATGATAGAAATTGAGCGTTTCATCCGTAGCTCTTGATAACCATGAAGTTTTCTTATTCATTGATTTTCTGTTTTAGTTGCGGAAGAGTGGAGTTGGTTTTTCATGCATCTAAGATACTCCCTTTCATAAGCTGGAAATACCTAATCCTGATTCCTAAGACCCATGAGGTCTAGATCATACAAAAGATAATTCTAAATTTTGGCAAATTTATTTCTAGTTGTTAGGAATGAATAATGTCCTGGAAACAAGAATTAAAGTATTTAAACTTACAAAATTATCGTGTTTCTTTTAACCCCCGAAATAAGCACTTGGCCTTATTTTCGGGGAGGTCTTATTATTTTTGAGGTGCAGGAGGCAGCAATCGTGATCACCTCATGGCTGCTGCTGCATTGGAATATTTTCGGGGAGAGCTTATTTTTGGGGGAGGGCTTATTTTAGCGCATGCGCTCAAAAGCCCGATTGGGCTTATTATCCGGGGAGGTCTTATTTTCAGGGAAACAAGGTATAAAAGGGAAAATGTTTGTTTCTGCTAATAAAAACGGCATCCAGACCAACATCTTAATACACTGAGGCCAAGAAAAAAAGAAAAAATTCTTTGAAAGAGAACTAACTATTAATTTGACCATTCTTTCCATAGCCCCGGGCTGATCCCATTCCCATATGTAGCTTCTGTTTGGGGACAAAAGAATCAAACCGTGAGAAAAAGCCAGAAGAACTTCTCTCCTGCGCAGACTGCGGTAGCAGCGGTAAGTCATTCAGTCTGGTCAAATGAGAATCGTCAAGGTATGTTTTTATATTTGCAAACGGAGGTGCTCCGTCAATGGATGAAGAACTCCATTCCCAGGAGGGTGTAGGTTAGAAAGCTTTCTTCCAGGAGTGTAATTCTCTCTGAAGTTCTTTTCATCCACAGAACAAAAAAGGTAGCATTTTGGAATGTCTGCTTTTCATTTCAATCTTTTAAAAATAAAGAGTTGACTGTGGCAGCTACCCACTGTTCTGATCAAGGCTTCCCAAGATCATAATGCAAAATCCTTGTCCCAACAAAACCCCTTTTATTAATTTACTGTGAATTCTTCTCATTCACATCCAGCAAAGTCTTTCAAGGGGGATTTATAGTCCCAGACCTTATCTGGCTTGGAGAGCTGACAGCCAATTCCTGCAAAACTTGGCAAGGAATCTCAGAGAATCACAAACCAATTAAGCGAATTAATTGTCTCCTGCAAACTCCACTTCCCTTTCCCTCTTTTATTTTCTCTGGGAGGGGCCATTCAACATCCACCTGTGGCCTCACTCCCAAATCAACCCCTGTTCTTTAGCTGTTCCCTTCATCTGGGAACTCTGTGCATGCGCACACTGGGAGCAGGCTCCAGCTGTTTGTCTGCCTCATTGATGTCTGACTTCGAAGGCAGCTGATAACTGTCAGATGGCCCTGGCCTCCTCTCCGCCTCCAACACAGAGCCCTCATCAGAGCCTTCCCCAGACTCCAAGAGTGGCCCATGTTCCTCCCCAACCTCCTCACTGTCCGAATCTGCTGCTAGCTCCTTTGGCCGCTAGCAGGCCACAACACCCATCTAAACTGATACAAGTAGTGGAGTAGCCGTGTGAGTTGAATGTGATGAAAAGTTTGTGGCGCATTCAAGGCTAAGAAATGGGTTATTGTAGTGTTGGTGAACCTTTTTGTCATCGAGTGCCAAAATGGGAGCGCGCACAAACATTTTTGGCTCCACGCACCAATATGGGTGCACGCATGCGTACATACTGAAAACTAGGTGATCATCTGGTTTTTAGTGTGTGCATGCGCACCAGCCATGTAGTCTGCCGGTTTCTGGCCCATATGCGCACACAAAGACTAACTGCCTGGTNGGATCATTGGTTGCCCTCTCCCCTCTTTGGAAGAGATTTATAGCTCCCGCTGCCTTAAGAATGTTCAAAATGTTCTTAAAGATCCATCTCATCCTAGGCAGCTTTTTTTTTGAACTATTGCCATCTGGCAGACAGTACAGGGCAATAAAAATAAGAATAAATAGGTTGAAAAACAGCTTCTATCCCTGGGCAGTAACTATATTGAATTCTAATGTATGGTGCAATATTAATGCAATATCAGGGGTTTTCAATTCAATTGTATAGAATGTGAAGGATGTGCATTTGTGTTTTATTTATTTTTTATAGTTTTCTTATACATGATGTACATTGAAGAGGGCATTTAATTTCATTATACGAGGTGCAATGACAGTAAAGTAAACATACACTTAAAAACTTAAATATTGGCACCAGTTCTTCTGATGTTCTTTTTGCATCAAAAGAAGCACACCTGCCTTTCTGGGCAGGTGGCTCTTCAGCTTGGAAAGACAACGTTCATTCCTCTGCATTAACCTTACAAAGTCCAGTAAGCTTGACAGAATTGTTAGAGAAAGGAAAGCAAGGAATGTAATGGTGTTTGTGGTTTCTTGGCTATTATCCATGAAACATGGACTGATGTTCCCGTGGAGGAAGCGACACCAACTGCCTTCTTTCTGGCAGGCCAGTCCCTTGGTCCACCTGACAGAGGTAGGGTCAGCTCAGAAATCAGTTGCTTGGACTTCTTGGTACAGAGAACTATTAGGAGAACGTGGAGAAATCAGATCAGGACTTTGCTTGAGTTGTTGTAGATTCATCTGTTCCTATCTTCGATAGGCCTTTGGGTATTACAGTATTAATCAATAAATCAACAGAATAGAGCTGGAAGGATCCTTAGAAGCCTTCTGCTCAAGCAGGAGATCCTATACCAGGGTTCGGCAAACTTAAACACTCAAAGAACCACAAAGATCCTCCAATTCTGGAGATGTCTTTCCCTCACCATAGAGGCAGCGTCCTTTTTCCTCTACCCGTCCTAACTGAAAGCCCTATCAATTGTGGAGCCAAACGGCGAAAAGGAGCCACAGCAGAGGGATGAAAAGAGCCATATGCGGCTCCAGATCCGCAGGTTGCCAACCCTTGTCCTATACCATTTGAGACAAGTGGCTGTCCAGTCTCTTCTTAAAAACCTCCAGTGATGGAGCACCGACAAGTTCTGAAAGCAAACCCTTCCACTGGTTAATTGTCCTCACTGTTAGGAAGTTTCTCCTTAATTCCAGGTTGCTGTCAGGTTTCCTAAAAATGCCCTAGTTGATTCATGAGTCTCGAGCCAAGTTTCAAAACAAAACTAGCCATTTATTAGGAGCACCCTTAGGCAGGACTTTTTTGCAGTCAGGTCTGAGCTTCGTTTGAATTATAGCTGAACTTTAGCCCTGTTCCTTCCCTCCCCTCAGTCTGGGTCATAAATCACATTCCCCAGTGAGGTGCACCCCTCCCAAGCTTGTTACAATAATCTGAGATCCGACTCTAGCCAAAAGTATG